TGACTCACTGTAATGTAATTACGTACGGAAATTATTTCTTGCTTACGCATTTTCCACGCAAACAGTTAACTAAAGAATTACATTCCTATGTGTACACGAGGCATTCCTAATTAAAAATATAGATTTATGACTAAATAATTACTGTCCAAAATAGTGTCTTTTGACTCTGTCACACTTATAGTACACCCCTACCCCTCCTATGAAAGTATTTTGTCTCCCCAGTGCCCTCTCGCCTATGGTGGTACTCGATCAATATACCAGACGGGCAGACACAAAGAAGACAGCTCCTCCTGATATCTCCAGCCACGTACCGCCATAAAAGCTCATACACTGACGAATGTAAGCTACTTGCAAGGAAGCTATTAATTAAAAGGTTAAAGGTAGGATATTTGTTGTTTTGTTTTTAAACTGTTCTTTCAAAAACATTAATAAGACTTGATTAATTAACTTACTTAAAGCGTCTCGGAATATGTCTCGCGTGACAAGAAGAGAGAAATATCTTGAATGGTTTATGCACATATACATAATTCATCAGTCAACTTCTCATATATGTGCATATCGATAAAGTTATATAGTGCAGATTTATAGAGTGGTTTATGTAAAGTATAGTTTAGATAAGCTTAACTTTTGGTCCTGGTCAGAGTTAAGGTTTATTAATTAAGGTGATGTTTGGTTCAGACAGGAAAATGGCAGGTTTGGTTATTGGTGTAGATGTTGGTGGAACGAATACAGATGCAGCAATCATCAAGAATACTGATTTCATATGTTCAGGCAAGACTCCTACAACTGATGATGTCACCTCAGGACTAGAGAGAGCGATTAACAGTGCCATTGATAACTTACCTAATGGGTACAGTCATCAAGATATCAAAAGAGTCAATATTGGTACTACACACTTTGTTAATGCAGTTGTACAGAGAAAAGATATAGTACCTGTTGCAGTACTGAGGATATGTGGTCCAGCTTCTCGTAGTGTGCCCCCATTTTTTGATTCCCCACCTGATCTAAAGAAGGTTATAGCTGGTCCATATTACTATTTACAAGGAGGGTATGAGTTTGATGGTCAACAGGTCATCTCTGAAGTTGATGATGAAGAGATTAGAAGAGTGGCAAAAGAAATTCATAGCAAAGGTAAGGCTCTCCCTCCTCCTTTCTCCCCCCTCCCCTCCCCCAGAAAAACGAGCAAAGATCCTGAACACACAGGATAAGGTATTGGAAACTTTAAGCTGCATATTAAACAATTATTGGATGTGGTTGAGCATGATATTGAGCAAGGCCATGTTATCTGTTGAAGCCATAGACTGAGGTCAATAAAACAGCTGAGGTCTTGATAAGTTAGTATGATGTGACAGTCAAATTCAATAATTGCTTTTTATGCATTTTGTAATAATAAAGATTTAATTCTGCTTGCCTAAATATATATTGCAATCTCTTTGTTCATGACCTTGCAATGAACTTCATGCTAAAATGGAGGGAAAAGCAGTGGGATCAGGCTCAATAGGGGGGCCACACAAAAAATCTGAGTCATGCAGCACTTTTTACAATTGAATTGAAAACAAGGAAGGGGCAATTTTTGTGCAACAATAATTTTATTGAGAGGGGGGTGGATTTCTTGTATAGGTTACCAAGCGAATCTCACTGCCCTCCACCTCTACCCCCCTCAAATGGAAGGTCCCAAAATTCAACCCAGAACCACTAAAGTGCAAAGTGGCACTTATTGGTTGCAAGTACCATACATGCACAGTGCTTCCTTCTTGTATTCCACTTCTAGTAATCGTGTGCTGAGCTTGCAAACATTATTGGTCCACCTTCTCAATGTTTTCAATCTATTTCAAACAGGAATAAGAAATGTTGTCATCAATGGAGTGTTTTCTTCAGTTTGTGCTGCACAAGAAAACCATGTCAGAGATGTGATACTGCAGTCCTATAGCAGTATCAGTATGACATTATCACATGAAGTTGGGTTGATTGGTTATTTGGAGAGAGAAAATGCATCCATTTTGAATGAGACCCTGAAACCTTTGTGTTCAAAGACAGTGGCAGCATTTAGTCTTGCTCTTCAAAGAATTGGATTGAGGTGTCCCTTTTATCTGACCCAGAATGATGGGACTATTATAAGGTAAATATAGACTGTAAACAGTCACTCTTTTTCTTCCAGACTCATGTAATTAACATCCATCCATCTATCTATCCATCCATCTATCTATCCATCTATCCATCAATCCATATGTCTATCTATTTAACAAATTGACTTCAGATTTTAATGTGTCTGTCCTCTTATTGACAATAAAATGCGTCATCACATTGTCAAAGTAGTGGGGATCCACGAGGCATAGCCTAGTGGATCCGCATACTACTTTGACAATGTGAAGATGAAATTTATCATCAATAAGAGGATAGACACATAAAAAACTGATGTCATTTTGTTTTTTACAATAACAAAAATGATAAAAACTTCTCATTTTTACTGATCAAAACAACTAACAGAAAGAGCATGTACTTCTTGACGTCAGCTTAAAAATCTGTCTGTCCTCTTATTGATGATAAAAAATAACCTATCAGCGCACGAGAAATTTATAACTTATTGTGAAATTATCAATTCATGTATCCACTCAATCGTTTATTAATTCTTTTATTCACTCATTCTCTCATTTCCCTATTTCTTATTTTCTGTTAAGAGCACAGAAGGCCCTTGAGTTCCCTGTGTTAACTTTTGCATCAGGGCCAACCAACAGCATGAGAGGAGCTGCACTTTTGTCTAAAATAAAAGATGCAATAGTTGTTGACATTGGTGGCACAACCAGTGATGTTGGTGTATTGAATAATGGATTTCCTAGGCAGTCCTCTACCAGAGTTAGGGTTAGTTTGCTTTGGTATATAAATTCCCTATGGGCTAGTAGAGAGTAAAAAAGAATAAAGACTTGCAAAATTAAGGGAAACGGCTAGGAAACAATCAACATTTTCTCAAATCAAATTATGGTTGATATCTGTGATATGAGTTAAAAGGGTCTGTTTCTCGTAGGTTGGAGGTGTAAATACTAACTTTAGAATGCCTGATGTACTAAGTTTTGGATTAGGAGGAGGATCTCATGTCATGGAAGACAAGAAAATGGTAAGTGACTGACATGCAGGCACGCAAACATAAAGACAGACTGATGGACTGGCAGATATGCATGCAGACAGACTAACAGATGGACTGATGGACAGACAGACAAACAGATAGACTGACAGATTGACTGACAGACAGACTAAATGATTGGAAGAAAGAATAAATAAATAAAATGAATGAATTAATTAATCAATCGTTCCATCCTACAATAGGGACACATAACTGTTGGTCCAAGGAGTGTTGGTTACAAGCTGGAAAAAGAATCAAGAGTGTTTGGTGGTGAAGTACTGACTGCAACTGACATAGCAGTTGCTGCGTCATTATGTGACCTTGGTGACAGAACAAAGGTCAAAGGTCTAACTAAGGATTTTAAAATGAAAACTTTAGATGTCATAAAGAAGATGATTGAAGATGTAATTGATCAGGTCAAGGTATTGCTTTCATTACATCTGTCAAACAAATTAGAGTTTTAAGTCATAAATATCCCAAAAGCACCTGTACAACAACCCATTCTGTCACCCTCACACTTACCCCCACCACAACCCCCTCTGTTACCCTCACATGTAACTTCACAATAACCCCGTCGTCACCCTCATATTTACCCCAACAACAGCCTCTACATGACCACAATATGACAGCTAAAAAGTGATACATAGTTGCATAAATTTGTTCTTTGCAGACAAGCAAAGAAGACCAACCTGTTGTTCTTGTGGGGGGAGGCTCCATACTGGTAGACAAAACATGGCAACTCAAGGGAGCTTCTAGTTTTCATGTCCCTCCACACTTCCAGGTATGGAATGATACAGAAAATTGGTACAAGCAGGCTGTAATAGTCATAGGCTAAACAAGACTGACAGTTTCCTTTCATCAGTTGATTTTTGTCTAACATTACTTGATTTTTTCCAAGGCTGCAAATGCTGTAGGAGCTGCTTTAAGTAAAATCAGTGGCATAGTAGACACAGTATTTCATCTAGAAAACAGAACTGAACAAGAAGTAAAGAAAGAAGCAGAAGTTCTTGCTCATAAAAAAGCTGTAGAAAATGGAGCAGACCAAAGCACCATTGAGACTGTTGAAATATCAGCTATTAAACTGGCCTATCTTCCTGGTAATGTTATTCATATTAAAGTAAAGGCAGTTGGTGACCTCTCAGAACATGAGCTCCACTCTTCCATGAAAGGTAAGATGAGTCGTGATAGCTTAACAATAGTTTTATCGTCAACCAATGAAACCCATTCTAAATCCACAGTTGTATATATCTACAGATTTCCAAAATGACGAAGCTCAATTGGCAACAGAAACTGTTCAATCTGAACCATACAAACCATCATCAGCTGCTTACTCCCCTCACCGTTATGTACAACCAGATGAAGATTACCAAATTACTTATGCTACTGATACTACTTGTCACAGTGAACCCACCATTGACCCAGCTACTGGTGACTGGTTGTTGAGCAAGTTTGATGTAGAGTGTATAGCTATTGGAGCTGGCATTCTTGGGTGTGGTGGGGGAGGTAGCCTTTACATAGGAAAGTTAAGAATACTTCAGCTATTAAGGAGTGGTAAAGAGATACGCATCATCCATCCAGATAGGTATGCTTGTGATGTTCCTATACAACTCTATTTTGAGCTATGATTACATCATCCATCCAGATAGGTATGCTTGTGATGTTCCTATACAACTCTATTTTGAGCTATGATTACATCATCCATCCAGATAGGTCTGCCTGTGATGTTTCCATATAACTATATAGCTATTTTAGTTCATTTTTTTAGCTTTTTATCTCATCAAAAGGTGCACCAACAGATTGAGGGAGAAAAAAGAAAATGTCCGCCATATTATCATCAAATTGAAAGGATATATTTTGCTATTATAGTGTCAGTGGTCCTGTTGCATTTGTAGCATTTATGGGTGCACCAGTCATTCTTCTTGAAAAACTACCAAGTGGAGAGGAGTCAGTATCAGCAGTGCAAGCCCTACAACCAAGAGAAAAGGTATTGTAGAGTAATGCAACAGTTGCTAACCAACAGACAAGCAGCCGACCAATGCAAGTAGAATTGAGTTAAAGCAGCAAGTTGGCAAATACCTCTCTACCATGCCAAGATTTACGACACAGCTAGTTGTCACACAAGTTGTCAATTGACCAATCAAATTTTTAATACCAACCCCACTAAGTGGTGCTTATGTAGACCTTTTCATTACAGACTGGGGTCACTGGGCCATTACATGCAATAGCGTCTGCTGAAGTTGGTGGCATGAATTCATTGGAGCCTCTTGCAGCAGCTGCTCTATTAGGGCTTCCTGTGGTAGATGCTGACGGCATGGGTCGAGCATTTCCTGAACTCCAAATGTTCATCCCTTTTGTGTATGGTGTCAATCCATACCCTGCTTCTATTGCTGACGAAAAAGAAAATGTTTTATGTATAAATAAAGTTGAATCTTCCAAGAGCCTGGAGAAATTTTTCCGTGTTGTGTGCATCAAAATGGGGCAAGTATAGATATTTTGTTTATTATATTAATAGTCATCAGTCTGTTTGTCCGTAGGTCTGTCTGACCATCCATCCACCCACCCACCCATCAATCCAACCATCCACCCTACCAACCACCCATCCACTCAGTCAGTCTTTCTCTTGTTTTATATCAATTTTGCATTATAGTATGTTTATCCAAATGTGAAAGATTAGGACTTATTTCTTATTTTAATTTTGATCTTACAATTTTCCAGATGTTCTGCAGCAATTTCTGCTTTATTTACACCAGAGGACATCAAAGAGAGATTTGTACACTTCAGCCTAAGTCATGCAAGGAAGCTGGGAAAGGCTGTTCTACAAGCAAGAAAAGACAAAACATCTCCAGTTGATGCCATTCTCTCACAGGAGGAAGGAAAACTGCTATATAAAGGGAAGATAGCTGATTTGGAGCGTACAACAGTGGAGGGGTTCAGCAGAGGCATCATCACTATTACTAGCTCTGATCAAGAACAACCATTGTTGGTAGAATTTCAAAATGAAAATTACCTTGCTTACACCAAAAATGAAGATGGCACCACAAACATACTGGCCTGTGTTCCAGACTTAATCTCATTGGTTGATTCAGAAACAGGAGAACCAATCCCTACAGAGGAGGTTCGTTATGGATTACGAGTGGCTGTTCTTGCGATGTGCTCCAATCCCTTGTGGACTACCCCTGAAGGATTACAAACAGTTGGTCCACGAGCCTTTGGCTATAAAGATATAGAGTACAAACCTGTTGGAAAGTACATTGAGCATCCTCCCATACCAAAGCCGAGAACAAGAAAACCATAATCCATAGAGTCAATCTAATAAATTTCAAAAGTTTTAGAACTCTTAAATCAAACATCCACTAAATAAGAGAAAAGATAAAAACTAGTAAAATACACGGTATATAATTTTATACTTTTTCAAAAGTTCTGCTCAGCAACTATTACAGGTAATACCAACTGTATTATAGTTTTTGCAGGGTGAATCAAAATTGGTAAAAGTATTATATCCAATTGTATTAGATATCATAAATTATAATACCAGTAATAAAATAATAATAAGAATTATTATGATATTATCATTCAATTTAGAAAGTATATTGATAATTTCCCAAAAAAATCTATAAACAAATCCATGGTTACCAAATATTTTATTAGCTAGCATAATCATAATGTTCAGCATGTTCGTAAGATGAGCAAAAGTAAACAAACTAAAGATCGAGAGCAATATAACAATAAACCCATAAATTAATAACTTGAATATGAGCCTTCCAGGATGCCTTCTTGATTTGAAAGCCCTCTTAAAATAAGTGAATGGCCCCTACTTTCTTTTTGCTATCTCTTTTTGTTGCCGAGATTGTAACATTATATGATATTGTGTGACAATGCATCTTTGTTTAACTAGTTACGTTATAGTTAATCACATGATTGTAATCGTATATATATACACA